GCTGAGATCGGGAAGATCATGATTTGAGACCTGCCTGAGCAAATAGTTTCTGAGACCCTCATTTCCAAAATAACCAGAGCAAAAGAGACTGGAGGTGTGGTTCAAGCAGCAGAGTGCCTGCTTTGTGAGTGCAAAGCCCTGAGTTCAAACCCCAGTCCCACCAAACAATGAAAAAAACAAAAACAAGAAAGCCTCATTTGCACAGTGAAGCTCACTCTGTCTTAATTCACTTTTCTCCTCAGAGCTCACCTTAGAAAAGCAAGCACCAAGCGAGCGAGCGTCTCTGTTCAAACCCAGGTGGATCAATCTGTCTCCATCACACCACCTTCTGATCTTCTCCAAAGTGTTTTGCATGTTTCCAGACCTGAATCGCCAAGCTCGTAATTTGGGTTGTGTCATAGCCCTTGGATAACAGAAATTACCTTGGAGAAGGAGGACCAAGGTACACACCCTCCATCTGTTCATTTGTTGTTTAGCACCTATTTATTATCTGCATGTGCTACCCCAGGTCTGGAGACCAGAGATGACTGAGACATGGCCTTCCTAGAGCCCCCAGTCATAGGAAGAGAAACACAGGCAGAAGAAAGAATCCAGGTTGTCCATAAAAGGCTTTGAAATGTCCCCATTCCAGTGGCAAGGTGGTCCTTTTTCAGCTCACACAATCTTAGTGGGTAAAAGCTTCTAGTTTTCTTTTTTTGTGCTAGGGTTGGAACCCAGGACTTCTTGCATGCTGAGCACATTTGTGGTTCTGGGGTGTGAACTCAGGGTCTCACACACATCTAGGAAGCCACACCCCAGCTCTTTTTGCTTAGCTGTATTTTTCAGATAGGGTCTCCCTTTTGCATGGGTGGCCTCAGATCTTCCTACCTCCACTTTCCATGTAGCTGGAATTATAGATGTGCATCACTGTGCCTGGCTCCTCTTGCTCAAATTTTAGTTTGTCTCCAGACATTTATTAAGGCCTCCTCGCTACCCTGGTTCCCTCCCCTTGCTATCTTTTGTTTCTGGCAAGTATATGCAGAAATTCAAATAGAAGGACCAAAGAGAATCGGATTTGGGCAAGAAAACTTGCAAACTGTCAGCCACTCAGCTTAGGCAGACAGTTGGCTTCTTTTTATGGTTTGCATGTGTGTGGCTGTGATTTTACAATATCATTTTGTTTCCTGCTATGGTATCTCTGTCCCAGGATGGAAGTCACTGTATCAAATGATCCTGGTATCCTGTATCAAGGGCTCCATGACTTTTGAGGCCTCCATGCTGCAATACCCTTGATAGCCCTTGTTTTGGAAGATGACTTGAAGTAGTGGAGGGAAAGGGATGTTGCAGAGGCAGACATGGGGATCATTTGCCAGCTGTGTGAGCTTGGATGAATTTCTTTACCTCTCTGAGCCTCAAGTGGATTCATATATAAAACATTAACAGTATTATCTACTTAGAGAGCTCCTGGAAGGATTACAGGGGGTGATTGTAAGATTTTCTGATATACAGTAGATCTTAATAAGGGTAGTTCTATTTCTTTTTTTTTTTTGCAGCACTGGGCTTTGAACTCAGGACCTCATACTTGCTAGGTAGATGCTCTTACCACTTGAACCACTCTGCCAGCGCACTTTTGTAATGGGTTTTTTCGAGATACAGTCTCTTGAACTATTTGCCTGGGGCTGATGTTGAACCACGAAATCCTCCTCATTTCTGCCTCCTGAGTGAGTAGCTAGGATTACAGGCATGAGACACCAGTGCCTGTCTCTATGATCACTTCTTTAAGCAGCTGTGCCTTATTCTTCTGTAAACACCCACGTCCAGGCCAGGCCCTATGTTGGATGCTAAGGATACAGAGGTAAATTGGATCCGGAAGTCTTAATTGGACCCATCTCTATGAAGTACAGTCTAAAGTTTGAGGGGCTGTTTCACAGATAAGCAAAGTTGGGGGGAGGGTGGCAGAGAGAAGCACAGGTGGGTGGGCTCACTAGAGCAGGACCCCCTCATTCCCAGGGCCCCACACTGCTCGTCAGTGTAATGAGCTGCCCAGCCTCGAAGCACACGAGGTTTTGAGCATTATCATACAGGAGGACGTCACTGGCACCCGGTACTTTTTGGTGGGCAACGATTGTCACAGCCATACCAGCCCAATCTGGCACTTCATGACTTCTGGGTATTCCCCCAAAATAAATCACGAAAGGAAAGTGATACGACATCTCTGAACCCATCCAATCTGTCATCACAATCCACTTGAAGGCCATCTCAAAAAAAGTTTCGTCAAGTGGCAAGGCAGTAGACAAATCTGTGTGGTGGGAGAGGGAAAGGGAGGGGCTTGCATGCCGTCAAGTACAACCTGTTAATTCCTTCCATGGAGGAATTTTCTGGTAAGAGCACAAAACACAGGTCTGAGCAAGGTGCCTTGGGGGCCTAGAGAGAGGTTTACACTAGCGGGTGGAAGACTTCTAGAGGGGAAATTGCTCAGGGTCAGGATTAATAAAGCCACTGTGAGTGACAAGGCCCTGGAAGGCATCCCAGAGTGAGTCAGGTATTCCATACTTGGAAAAGCATCCGGGCGGCCCCACCTGTCTCCCCTGCCCATCTGCAGAGCACCCACAGCTGCTCCTTCAGCCCTGCAGTGACACATGACGACATCCTGGCCTAAGCCCCACTTTATCAGCAGCCCTTCCCAGGGACTATTTGCAGAGGGCCCCCCCACTTGGAGTTTGACATTTCACACACAAGTGTTCAACTTTAAAAAGAGAAGGGGAAGCTAGGGCAGGTGCCTGCACTCCACCCAGCCCACCCACCTCCTGCAGGCTCCCGGGGTCTTTGTGCTGTGTGTGTATGTGTGCATCTGAGTACAGCATCAGCCCCACATCTGCGGCCTCATGACAAGAGGCTTTGAAGCGCTACAATGACGCCATCTGCCAGAGACAACCAGCTGGCTTACAAGCTGACCCCTCTGTTGCCATGGCAACCAAAATGTGGGGTGGCAGTGGCGCAGGCCTTCAGGAAACCCACCAGGCTAATGATGTCAGGAGGCTCCCTAGCCTGCAAGTTCAGGGCCTTGTGGTCCATACTCAGGTGGAGGTAGATGGGGCAGAGATGGTGGCCAGGCTGGTAGCCAAAGGGAGAAGGGAAAGGAATCATGGTGGTATCTCTGGATTGTAAAGGAAGGGTCTTCCCCTGTGGCTTCATGGAAAAGTTCTCCCAAAGTCAATGGCTCACCTGGACCTGAGGAGCAGGCCACACCTGCCCGGAAGCACCAGGGCAACTGCGTGTATCTTAGTGTCTGGCTTACTCTAGGTATGCAGTAGGAGCAGGGTAAGAATATGAATCAGCACATAGCTGCACTTGGGGTGTGCTACCTTGAGGGATCTTGGGTAAAATCACTCGCTCACAAATTCCTTGATTTGGGGGCCAAAAGGTTTATACATCTTCCTGTAGAGTGCTGGACCAATTTACCTGTGTGCCAGTAGTATATGTGAGTTCCTCAGCTTTACTTCTTCCCAGTCTGTGTTGTGAGTGACAGGTTTTTCATTTCAGCGGTCTGAGAGGATTGACTTGGGCCTTGTCCTTTTCAATCTTATTTTTCAATTGCACGTGAACTTGATCTTTTCACTGTCTCCTCTGTGAACAGTTTGGTCCTTAACCCTTTTTGGTTAAGTTCTTGCTGATTTGTAGTTCTGTATATATAATTCTAAAGATGATCCCTTCTCCTGTGTGTGATAACTATTTTTTTCCAATCTCTATGTGGCACTTTTGCTTTATGTTAGGCACCAAAAAGAAGTTTCTAATTTTTCTGTAGTCAAAGAATGGCAAAAAGCTGTTGAGGCTTATATAAGCAGACTTATGACACCCTCTGTATCCACCTGACTTTTTATATATGCAACAATCTTCTTCTATGATTTCCTTTGAGTCTCACAAGGCCCTGGGAGGTAGCCAGGCAAGGCCCATTAGTCTTATGTCCTAAGTTAGAAGATGGTCTTGTCTGATTGCTTTGCCACCCAGTGCCCACTCTTTCCTCTCTGAGTAACTGGCTGGATTTTTCTCTTGAGGAATATCACCCTTCACAATCTTTGTCTCTGTGGTCTGGATTGGGTTGGCTTTGGAGGGGGCACAAGACCTAGGCCTGGTCAACCACAGGACTCCATTTTTCAAGCCACAAGGATGGCCCGGGACCTGAGAACACTATCTTTTCCAGGATTTGAGGTGGGATTACTGAAGAAGTGGTAACTTCTGCTAAATTCTGTTTAAGAATAAAGCCAGTAGAGATGAGGGCAGATCAGAAAGTCTGAGGAGGAAGGGGCAGAGAAGCATAAGGGCTTGCCAGTGCTGTTCTTGTCTATGAGCTCAGTTTTTCACTCTGAAAGGTAGGATAAGAATCACCCTGCCTCTTCCTCCTCCGCTGACTCTGGCTGACCCAGTGTCTCCTAAGCCTCTTGGCTGGAACAGGGCACTATGGCCCTCCTGTTCTGTCCCCAAGGCCCTTCTGAATGGAAGACCAGGAAACTGTAAGCTTGATAGATATAGTCAGCACAGAAGAAAACCGACAACAGCCTGAGTTTGCCCAGAGGGAACTGGACGAGATCCAGACAGCCAAAAACAAGAAGAGAGCAAGCAGAAAGCAGAAAGAAAAAAAACCTGACTCTATGAGCAGTTAATAAGACATGAAAAAATGAGTTAAATCTTCACTGTAAAATTTACACATAAAAGGATAAATCCTGCTAAGAATGATTTCTTTAGAAAAAAAAAAAACCTGAGCAAATCATCATTTCTCCTGGGGCCATAGGGAGATTTGTTTTGAAAATTAAATAGACTCAGTGGTAGTCCCCTGGAAAATATTGTCTAGGTGAAATGCCATGGACACTGATGTGTTTCTGATGACATTTCTTAACATCCTTGAGGTCAAAGCCTTCTATGTTCAGCTGGGGCTCAGCAGATTCTATCCGGTTTTGAACAGGTAAAGGCCACCACAGGAAGGGGGGTGCGTGGTGGCTAGCCATGTGTCCCTGGCTACTCACTGTGGTGATGAACCTGTACAGTGGCTGCCGTCTCTCTGTGTACTTGACCGTGATGGGGCTGAGGTCATAGCGGAACCAGATGGCAGGGATGATGCGGCCTGTGTGGCTATAGGCGACATACTCCTGGAGTAAAGGAAAAGAGGGGGATGTGAGAGCCAGAAGCACAAACCAGGCCTCCCAGTGGGTGGAGGATAGATTGCAGAGGCAGCCCTGGAGGAAGGGTCCAGCATTGGAGCTAACATCCTCTCATACCCCTTCTTCTGAGGCCTTTGTTTCTGCTGTCAGCACCCTGATGGGCACACATGGCTGGAGGCATTTTTGACCCCTTTAATTATTGGGCAACTGACTAACCTGGAAGGAGCACCAGAATCAAACATACATCTAAAAGCAGAGATATGCAAGGAAGAGCGTGAACAAAGGTCTATTCACTTTCCAACTCCTGGGCCACACAAAGCCCATCCATCAGTTTATTCAGTGGTCTTTCTGCTGGGGGGCAAGGGGCAAGTTAGCTTGAAGGAGGCAGATATAACACCATCCTCAACATGGCAATATGTGTGTAGGACAGAGGGACATGGAGTGCTGAGGGGGGCATGAACAAATGGCCAGGTTTCCCAAGGGGAATCTGAAAGACTCACTCAGAAGGGGATATTCTGAGCCACACATGACAGATAAACAGAAGTTCTAACTGTTATGCATGTGTGTGTGTGTGTGTGTGTGTGTGCGTGTGCACGCACATGTGCATAAAGACCTTGTGGGAGTAGAGTTAGTGTCCTCAAAGGAAAATCAATCCCACAGGGACCTGGAGAGCCAGAGGGCTGTGTTCCACTTCTCCCCTATGTCTCATGGCCATGAGTTCCAATCTCCATGATCTATAGAATTTCTTCAGAGTGCTGAAAACTCCAGTGTCATTCTTACTTGTCACAACAAATGGGGACCAACCCCAGGCATCCCAATCCCAAATGCTGAGCCTGAGCAGCTCAGGACAACACTGAGCTGACATTCCTACAGGCTGGCTACTTTTTGCTCATAGGGCAGGCTGGGGCCAAAGCCACAGAGAATGCTGAGCAAGCTGTCCTGGCCACCTGGGCCCTCGCCAAAGTCTTGAGGAAGAAACCTGAAGCAAAGGAAGCTCAGCTTTCTCTAGGGAGAGCTGAGGGGCAGAGTGACTGTGTGCATCACAGTCCAGAGCTGAGGGGCAGAGACAAAGTGTGAAAAAATAGCAGTAGTGTCACCCAAAACTTTGTGGCTGAGCAATTTGAAAACACGGCCTCATCAAGGGAAGGAAACCAAAAACTTGAATGAGATTGATGTGCTCACTGTACAGGAATGAATATAGAAATTTTAAACTAGCCGGGGCCACATGGGAATGGGATTAGGAAGGAGTGAAGAGGACTGGAAAAGGCAAATCAATTGCAGCTGTAATACACATATGCATGGGAACAATGCAAGGAAACTCCCTGTGTAGCTAACTTTATCTCAAACTAGCAAAACATCATGTTTCTTGTTTTATCGTTTATGTTTTTTTCTTCTGAAAAACTGGAGGACAGGAGGGCGGAACAGGTTCTGCCTGGGGTGGGAGTGTGGTTGGCACTGGTGGGAGGGGGAGGTGGCAGGGAAAAGGGTTGGAGGGTGAATATAGTGCAAACAATGTATACACATGTGTGTAAATACAAAAATGAGACCTGTTGAAACTACTCCAGGAATCAGGAGAGGGGGGATGAAAGAGAGCAGTGCAGGAGTGGGGGCTGGTGGGGGGAATTCAAGTATGACATATTTGAAACATTGTAAGAACCTTTGTAAATGCTACAATGTATCCCCACCCAGCACAATAATAAAAAAAAGAAAACACAGCCTCATTTGACAGCAATCTTAGGAAGAAGGTACGATGCTACAAATGAGTAAACTGAGGCCCAAAATGCTGTATGGTGTGGCCCAGGTCCATAGCTAGTGATGACTGAGCTGGGATGTGACATGTGCAGTGGGTCCAGAGCCCACGCAACTCCTGCTTAGGTCACATCTGATCATGATAAGCCGTCTGGTAATTGCCCTCAGCACTTGAGGGTTACAATGAGAGGCTTGCTAGGGTTTGAATGTCCCCACAAGGTCTGTTTCTCTGTTTATTTTTTGTAGTTCTAGGGACTGAACCAGGAACGTGAGTGCTCACACGTTCCTTGTGAGCATGCCACACAGTGCTTTCCCATAGAGTTACACTCCCAGCCCTAAACCCCTGTGCTAATTGTATTTGGAGGTAGGGTCTTTGGGAGGTTATTAAGGTACATGAGGTCATGAGGGTAGGGCCCCAGGGTACCATGGCTTTACAAGAAGTGGAAGGGAGACCTGAGGTAGCATACTTGTTCTATGGGATGCCCTCTGCTACGTCATGATGTAGCAAGGTTCTCACCAGATTCTGATAGATACTGGGGCCGTGCTTTTGGACCGCCCAGCCTACAGAACTATGAGACAAATCGACTTCTATTCTTTGTACATTACCTGCTCTCAGGTATTTTGTTATAGCAACAGAAAACAAACTAAGAAAGATGCTCTCTGTGAAATGATGAATAAGGCATAGGAGTTCCTTGGAGAGTTATGCCGGACCAGGAATATAATGTGAATCAGAGTCAGAGTGACTTAGGGACCCTAATCACTGACAGAGAGCAGCTCCCAGGATGGCAGACTGCATGGCTCCCTTATTCGGCCTGAGAGGGTGACATGAAGAGGCCAGGCTCTGGAGCCCAAGGAGAGCCTGTTCTAACCCTGCACTCGTGTGGCTCTGTGGCCACCTCTCAGTGCCTGGTGGCCAAATTTGTAAAATGGGCATAATAACAGCTCCAGCATCAGAGCTGTTGTGAGAACTGAAAACAATGACAGCAGGAGAGAGTTTGGCATGTCAGCCATAGAAAGCACTCAATACACAGTGGCTCCTCCTCCTGTGGTTGCTATTATTATTATTGTTAATTGAGCTAAACAATGCATCACTTGTAAAGGGCCCACCCTGGAACAGCAGAAAAAGGAGAGCCCTTATGTAAGTGAGAAAAATCATCCATTAGGGCTTGGCAGAGCCTTTCCACAAACAGGCTTCAGACATCATGGCCAGGCCTCTGCAGAGGCCTCAGGCTGACCTGGCTTGAAATCACTAATTGATGGTCAACCTGTTCTGTTCCTCTGTCACCCTCTGCTTCCCTCTGAGACCTGCCTACTTCCCTATGACTTTTAGCGCTGGGGTCCTGGGACACATCAATGGCCAAAGAATCTACAGCAGGCCTCGTGTGAGTTCTCAGCCTTGGGATTTTGGATAAAGGGATTCTGCCCCAAAAGTGGACACATCATCCCATGCAGATCAATCAGGCAGTGAAGGACCAGAAGACCTTGAGGAAGACCTTGAGGCATTGGCAACCCCTGAGACCTTAGCAGCAGCCCCTGCCTGCTCTTTCTCATCCAAGAGACAGAGCCTGGCCACAGCCACCCCAGCCCACAGGCCTGAAAGGAATCAGCAGAAATTGCCAGGCAAGTCACTTGTCACTTCTACTCTCCGCCAGCAGAGGGCACAGCTGCACAGGCTTAGCCCGGCCTCTGCCCACGCACCTTGTTGGCCACCGTGTACTGGTAGGAGTACCGCTGCTTGCCATTCTTGTCCTCGTACACTGTAGGCACGATCTTCAGGATGTAGTCGTGGGACGCCAGGGCTGCAGGAAGGACACAGCAAGATGAAGCAGAGCATGGGCACTGCTTGGCTGACAACTCTTTCTATGATATTTCAGCCTTAATCCCAAACCCTCTTGGTATTGCAGGGGATTCTTTCCCTCTTTTCATTTCCAAATGACCTCTCTTCATCTTCTTCCCATGGATGCCAGGAAACAAGAAGCTCCTCCTGTTAGGATTTTTATTTCTGCATACCCAACATTAAAATTCTGGAAATAACCCAAAATCTCTTAAATAGGGCAACCATTACAGAGCCAGGGACTCATGCATGTAATCCTAGCTACTCAGGAGGCAGAGATCAAGGAGGACCACAGTTCAAGGCCAGCCCAGTCAAATAGTTTGTGAGACACCAATTCAAAAAAAAAAATACCCATCACAAAAAAGGGCTGGCAGAGTGGCTCAAGGTATAGGCCCTGAGTTCAAACTCCAGTAATGAAGAAAGAAAGAAAGAAAAAAAGAGTGAAAGGAACCAAGTTACAGCCAGTGTGTACCGAAGGCTCCCACAGACTCTCTAATGTGTGTGACTATGTAGAAGGATAAGTTAGAAAGATCCCTAGGACACACTGACCTTCAGTCTCTGGGGAAGAAGGCAGGATTTGAGAAAGATCTCATTTCATTGTGGGTACTATTTGGCTAGTTTTACTTTTAAAATAAACTGCTTTCAGTTTCAGAAAGAAAGAGCCTACTAACAGAAAAACTACATCTACAAAGAACTGAGAGGTTTCTTTTCTCTTTGTCAGTGAATGGTCACCACTTCTACCTCCACTCAGCCCTGTGATATCTCAACATAACTCTCACTGCCTCTCTTCAGCCTGGAGGGCGGAGGCTGCTGAGGACAGGGACTATGTCTTACTCATCTCCCTGTCCCCAGAGCCCTGTGCAGGGTCTGGTACGGAGAGGATGGTGGCAAATGCTGACTGAATGAATGAACAGATGGAAGGATGACTGGACAAAGGTATGAATGAAGAACAGATGAATCAGCTATTGATAAGCATGAGGTAACCGGAACCGGACACTAGGCCAATAGAAGGCCAGCCCAGAGCTGCCAGAGCTCACCCGGGAATTCAGGGATGCTGAGAAAGGCCCAAGCATCATTGATTATGCCTTCTAGAATGTGGAAGGGAACCACAGAGCTAAAACAGCAGGGAAATTTAGTCCTGTGGGCTCTAACGCTGTTCTCATCCAGCTAGTCCTGTTCTTGGACTCACCTGTAAGAGGGTAAGGATGCACACTTTGGGTTCCCCACATATTCCCTCTCTAGCTCCTCCTGTTTCTGCTGTGTCACCTAAGGAAATGGACAGGGCTTCTGGAATCCAACTGGGAAAACCTGGGACTGGCCCTGTAGCCTCAGAGGTCAGGGCCAGGAAGGTCCCAACACTCCTTGTTCACCCCATAATGGTTCTTGAGAGGCCAAGCACCAGGATCACCTGGGATGAAAAGCAGACACTAGGCCTCGTCCCTGAGGAGTCCCTCTCAGTGGGTCTGGGGTGAGCTTAGCATCTGTGTTTAAATCAGGAGTGCAATGACTCCCTTGACGTGAGGTGTCCCAAACCCCAGGTGTTTAACCCCAGGGTTAAAACCTAAATGAAAGAATGACTGCATTACCAAAATCACACCTGTAATATTTTTGTTAGAATTTGTACTAAACACAGGTAGACACAAAGAAAATATAAAAGTCACCCTTATATCCACCATATGCAGAAAATTGTGCACGTCCTCCTCACAAACATACTGCCTGACACGTGTTCCCATGTGTGCTCATGTTTTCCTCCAGCATGACCAAATCATGAACACCATGAACGCACGTCTGTTTCTCTGAGTCACCTCCACAGCCCCCAGTGCCAATAGTGTCTGGCACACAGCAGTTACTCAATACACATTTGGTGCCTGACTTGTGAGGTCCTGACAGGTCACCCATATTCCATGATGAGGGTTCAATGACTTACCCAGTCAGCCCCTATGGGTGACGGCGATGCGGTTTTTCCTTTTCACTCTTATAAACAATGACCCATAGATACTATTTTCCTAGAACTTTGTACTCTCGGGGTTATTTCCTTAGATTACTGTCCTATGAGTAGAACTGATGATTCAAGGCAACAACCACTTTTAATGCCTTTGATGCAACTTGCCAAATGTCCACTGGAGACACAGCACTAAGTCACACCACATACATCCCGGGTTAGTTGACCATTCCCAGAGACTGATGGCACTGGCTGGTCCTGGCAGGCCCATGTTCCCTCCCTGTGTCACTCTTTCCCTCTCGACATCTGATTATGAAACAATTTAAACAGAAACAATGGGGAATGATGGAATGACTTTCTGTGTGCCCACTTCCTGGCCTTGGCAATTACCAACATAGAGCCAGTCTTGTTTTGTCTCAACCTCACCAGCAGGATGGGTTCAAATCTATTTATTTATTAATTTATATTTTGGGGTGCTGGTGATTGAAACCACCTCCTTACACATGCCAGGCTACTATTGAGCCATGGTCCTGGTCCTCATATCTGAGTTTTGAAACTGGTAGCATACATGTAGACATACATTTTAAGCTAGTCATACGTATATATATTTAAAACCAGTAGCATGCACATATATGTATATGTGTAAATATATATGTATATACATGGATTTTAATCCAGTAGCATTTGTCTGACTACATATGTATGTAAGAATCAACACCATCATGCTTGCTTTGATTCCAGTTACACCACTCAGTTCCATGAAACCTGACGCAATTCGGTCACCTTAGACTCTGCCAGTAGGACCATGTTTCTGCAGTGAGCTGTAGTGACCCCGAGGACAAGAGCTAACACTTACTGAGCACTCGTTATATGCCCATCTGGGCACTAATGACTCTGCATGCCCCTTACTAATCCTTATGGCAAGGCTGGAAGGTGGCGAGGCTTTTCCCCACCATAGAGATGCAGAAACAGAGGCTCAGGGTAGTTAAATGACTCCCTAAGGCCATGGGTAGAGAGGTCCTCACCACCACACTGCAGTGTCACCTGGCCTCTGCTGTGCCACAAAGGTGGTTGATAATAACCTCTTATCATGGATCCTCTACCTGCACACTCTGGCCACTGGGCTGGGTCCTGGGATAGAGCAGTGGGCCAAGGCAGTGCCCCCAAGTTCATGGAGCTCCTGTTCTAATTGGAGTGACAGATAAGAATGATGGACCAAAAGAACAGGGTCGTGTGAGGCAGTGGTATGAGGCAAGAAGAAAGACAGGCTTATTACTAGGTGGAGGACTTCAGATAGGTGATCAGGAATGGACTCTCTGAGGTGGTGGCATTGAGCCACCACCTGAATAGCAAGAAGCAGTCCCCATGCGAAGACCTGGGTGCAGAGGGACCTCAAGGACAAAGATCCAGTGAGTGACTGAGCTTGGGAGCTGAGGTTATGAAAGCCAGCTCTCTCTGTGGCTGGCTGCTGCCTGATCTTATGCATTTTTCTTTCCGTGTCAGCCAGCCTAAGATGGCTTTCCTGGGTAGCCCCAGAGGCATTCTGGTCATACCCTCTACCTGCTCTCACACTCTGGGACCTTCCTAGTGTGACCTTCTTCAGTATAGGATAGCTGAGGGCCTTTTCTAGCTGCAAGCCTATAGGGACCACCTTAGAACAACATGCAGCTCAGACACCAGGCAGGCCCATGGCATTGTTTGCCAGTGAGGAAGCACTTCTGTTTACTCATCCATGGTGCAGGCAGCACATATGCTGGAGAACAACTGAGCAATGTCAAGAGCAAAGGACACTCTATGTATCACAGGCATCACTGTCATGGTAAGAAATGGAGACAAGGCGGTTCCGATGGATAAGACACTGCCGTACTAAGGCGGGCTGAGCTGCAGGTGGGCGAGCGTCACCATTGGATGGTATAAAAAACACTCATGCCAACTACAAAACTGAGAAGGCCATCTGTGCTCTGGAAAAACGAGAATGACTTCCGCTTATGGATGTGGCAAGGAAAGAAAGGTCTGATTTGCCAGGAGGTGGGTCATGGGGTGATGGGAGCATAAATGTCTTTTAGAAAATGATGACAATAGTCACATGGGTAAAACCATGAGTTCGGGTGAGGGGACAGGAACAGGGAACAGGTCCCTCAGGGTCCACCCAGTGGTGGGTTGGCTCGAGCAGACAGGCATCCCAGCCATGTGCACAATTGTGGAGGTGCAAGCTGTCCTTAAAAAGAGAAGACTCCGGGAAAAGCCACTGATTTGTGGAAGGGGTTTGAGCAGAGGGGAGGGGTCAGCTGGTCCCACCTGACTGGCCACCTGCCAAGCTGTTCCCATGGTGGATTCTGGCTCTGCCATCACTCCTGTGGGATCTTAGGTAACTATCATCTCCACTCAACAATGAGGTGGCAATGCCACAGTAACAGTAACAGCTGGTATCCATGTACCTGCCCCAGGAACAGCTGCTTCCTTCCCTGTCCCTCTCCCTCGGATGGGGACAAGTGTGCCTTTCTCACAGGGTGGCTGTGGGAATGGAGCGTGTGTGGATGGCTTCCGTGGCTGGCAGCACATGCCCCATAAGCATTCCCACCCCTACCTCCCTTGTTCTGGTGCCACCTGTGTGGGAACCTGGAGAAAAGGGCCCCTTGGGGTGGGGTACTTACGGTTGGAGGTGAGTCTGTCTGCTCCCCCGAGAGCATTGAAGGCGCCATGGACGTTCTGGACCTATGGAGAAGTACAGTGGGTGCTGGTCCCTGGGAGGCCACCATCTCCAGGGCTGGCCCTGGCTGTGGGAGACTTGCCAGGTGCCACCTGTCCTGGAGGTCTTACTCAGGTGGAGACCCAACAGGTTTGTCTCACAGAGAAGTTGTGAGGAGCAAGAGACAGCATGGGCTGGGTATACAGTAGGTAATAGCTTGCCTCCCACCTTGAGCACCCAGTATGTGCCACTCTGTCCTGACCACTTTGTGTCATTTCATTTGATGCACCAATGATGTATCATTGGGCCCATTTTACAGAAGAGGAAACCAAGGCTCCAAAACTTGTCCAGCATCCAGCAGCTGGCTGAGCCAAAGTCTGAATTCAGATCTATCTGACTCCAAGCTGAGCTCTTCCTATGAAGTCATGCAGAAAGCACAAGTGTAGGTGGCTTCTAAGTTGCGGCATGCTCCTCCTGAGACCCTCACAGTCTTCTGAAAGGCCCATGAGGAGCTGGGCCTCAGCGGAGAGCAATTGTGATGTCTCCTCCGCAGGGCAGGGTGGGACTATGCCCTCCAGGCAGGGGCTGGTGGTGAGTGGGGTTAACCATATTCTCAGAGGATCACGGGAAATCAGGTCAGCCTCCAGGAGTGTTGAAAGCATGGAGAGGCTGCACTTCCTGGAGGAAGTGACATTGACACTAAGATCTGGGGGAAGGCTAGACGTGACTCAGGCAAGCGGCCCCTGCCCAGGTGGCTTCCTCATGCTGCTCCCAGGAGGCTGATGTGCACTGAGCCCTGAACACAACTGTGTGCTTTCAACAAGTGGGCAGAGCAGGATAGGAGAGTCTGGCCATTTGCTGCAGGGGCGGAAAGTCAGGCCTTGATCCAATCCACGAGGTTGGTGGCTGTGGATTCATGAGGCCTACCTCGTGTCCACCTGCATGACTATCTGATCAACAGCTGTCTTCCCTCCACGCTGGAAGCTCCACATGGCCTCACCAATGCATGTGGAGCCCAGCTCGTGATAGGTGTCATAAATTCTCCTTCCTCTCTCCCTGTTTTTTTTTGGTGGCAATACTGGAGTTTGAACTCAGGTTCACGTTTGCTAAGAAGGCACTCTACCACTTGAGCCATTCCACCAGTCCTTCTTTTGTGTGTTGGGTATTTTTGAGATAGGGTCTTGTTTTTTGCCCAGGCTGGCCTTGAGCTGCAATCCTCCTGGTCTCTGCCTCCTGAGTAGCTAGGATTACAGGTGTGAGCCAATAGCACCCAGTCCCCTTTTTTGTTTCTTGGAGGCATGGTTTTGTTATGTAGCCCAGGTTGGCCTTGAACACATGATTCTCAGTTTCCTGAGAACTGGGATCACAGGCATGCACCACCACACCCAACTTGGTAAATATTTCTTAAACGGGCAGATAGACAGTGGATGGAAGGACTGACCCTAAGTACACTTTTGAAAATCAGCATTCCTGCACACTAATAACGGAGCACAGCACAGTTGCTATCACTCCTTTTGGCTATGTGCTCGTGATGCCTTGCCCCACCTCCTTTCCACCCCATTCTAACTTGCCCTAGTCTGGGCCCTCACATTCCTTCCAAGGAAGGCCTCAGCCCTTCCTTCACCCCATCTCTGATCATGCCTTGTGGGTCCTTTTCCTTACAACATGTGGATGCTCTGACAGCAACCCAACCCAATACCTTCCTAAACCACCATGGCCCCCCATCCCACGTGGACCCCAGCTCCAGATTCTTCTTTCAGTTCAGTGCTGCTTCTGAGCTCTCTGTGTCTCCGAGGAATCGTCTACCTCAGACCTCTGGCCTCTCACATACAGATATCATTAAGAGTCACCAACACCTGCTCAGCAATTTTTCTAAAGTAACCTTGAGAGTCTTTTAATATGAAAGTGAACAGTTGGATGTATCATAGCATGGGTACTCTACAAAAGGGGTGATATGCAGGATGCTCCTTTACCTGGGACTCCCTTCCTTGTCCTGGGCCTGGTCAAGTCATTATTACCCTTTGGGGCTTAGCTTGGTATCACCTTTGAAGCCACCTCCTCTGGGAAGCCCTCCCTGATTCCCAGTCTGGGGCCATCCCTCCCCCTCATTCTAACATCATTGTCTAGAATCCTGTCCTCTTGTCTTTAGCACTCCTTGCTCTATGTTGTCACGTTTATTTACACTCCATCTTTCCTCTGTGAGGATGCTCAAGTAGAGAGCCTGCCTAGCAAGCACAAGGCTCTGAGTTCAAACACAAGTACCATCAAAAGAAAAAAAACAAAACTGGGCATGGTGGCCCATGCTTGTAATCCTAGCTATATGGAAGGTCATAGGTAGAAGGATCACAGTCTGAGGCCAGGCCAGGCAAACAGACAAGACCCTACCTGAAAAATAACTAAAGCAAAAAGGGCTGGGGGCGTGGCTGAAGTGGTGAATCACCTGTCTAGCAAGTGCAGAGTCCCTGAGTTCAAAACCCAGTATTGAAGCCGGGTGCTGGTGGCTCACGCCTGCAATCCTAGCTACTCAGGAGGCAGAGGTCAGGAGGATTGCGGTTCGAAGCCAGCCTGGGCAAACAGTTCACCAGACCCTGTCTTGAAAAAACCCATCACAAAAAAAGGGCTGGTGGAGTAGGCCCTGAGTTCAAACTCCAGTACCACAAAAACAAAAATAAAACCCAGTATTGAAAAAAAAAAGCCACTTATAACACATGAATCCAGTGATCCATTTACCCATTCGTTGAATTAATCAGTTCATGTGGACTCTGCCAGTCAACTCCCAAAGTCCCACTTCTCAAATGCCACGAACATAGGACTGTAGGGATCGTTTCCAGCATGTGAAATTGGGGGACCTACTTGAACTGTAGCAACAGTACCTCTGCCTTACTGCTCCATGTCTAGCTCTGTAGAACGGGGACAACGCAGGGAACGAAGTCTTCTAAGAGAAGACGTGGTGAAGAGGGCCACCTTTGACAGGTGCTGGCCAGTTTCCCAGCCTGGTCTTTGCTTTAAACTTTGTGGCTGTCCTGAGGGTAAGTGGAGGCTCAGAGGCTGCATGGCTGGGGTTGGGACTTGGGCCCTGACCCAAGCCTGCTTGATGAGGCCCTGATGTCTTGACTGAGGCTGCCATGTTAGGATGAAGCATAAGGCCCTCACCAGAGGCCAGCACTCTAGGACCTCCCAGCCTCCAGAAACATGACCCAAATAAACCTCTACTCATTACAAATCACCCAGCCTGTGGCATTCCATTACAGTAAAAGAAAATGGAGTGAAATAGCTACGAAGGGGAGTGGGCCAGACTCTGGTGTCAGACAGACATGCTTTGGTTCTGGCTCAGCCTTCATGTCTGTAAAATGGGGTGCTCCACCTACCTCCAAGGCTGCAAGGAAGAGAGGACCAGCCCTTACTACTTTTTCAGTAAAAGTAAATCCCAACCCCCGAGGGCCTCAGGTCTGCACCTGAGCATTTCAAGTGGCCAGGCAGAGTCAGAGGACAAAACAGAGCCTCAAATGGGCAACTCCTCAGGAGGGAGGTCAGAGGGCACCAAGGACAGTTCCGGTACACCCACTCCTGACCATGCCACCCTAAGTGTCCCCTGCTCACCTGTAGCGTATCCCCAAAGGACAGCTTGTGGATGACGTGTGTCATGTCCGGGTTCTGTGGCTGGGCTGTGGCACTGTGTGTGGACACGTGGAAATTGCCAGGGACCTGGGGAAGAATGCAAATTTAGGAGTTTGGTTGACTGCTCTGGGATGAACTGCAGGTACTGTGTGATCCAGGCACAGAGTGAGCACTGGGGTCAGACAGACCTGGGTTTGGATCCTGGCTGGTATCATTTCCAACTGTGTCACTCTGGAGTCACTTCCCTTCAGGGTCCTTGTCGGTACAATGGAGACACTCAGTATCCAAGGAGGGGACTGGGACAGCCCTGTGTGAGACTGTATGGGAAGTACCCACATGGGCACCTGGCACTGACGCCAGGACTCAAAATGGTGGCTCTCCCGGCCATCTACCTGGATTCTCTTGGTCCCACGGTGGGCTAGGAGGTGACCTTTGGGCCTACAAACCAGCAGGGCTTCCCCAAACTCTAAACAAAGACTGTCATCTACGTGAATCTGCTCCTCACCATAGACAAGGGTCCCTGAAGGACAGACTGCAGATGACCTGCCTTCTTTCTGGGTCTTGAGGCCCTTGCAGAGCCTGGTGGTGACAGGCGTGGCTGAGTGTGTGTGAAACAGAAGAGGCTGATGGGATTGAACCACGCTGCAGAAGGAGGAGGATTCTCCCATGGTGCCTTGTTTCAGTCAAAGGCCACTGCCCTCCTCTTCCCCTTCCTCCCCTTTTCCTTCCCCTCCCTCCTCCCCTTCCTCCCCTTTTCCTTCCCCTCCCTCCTCCTCTTCCTCCCCTTTTCCTTCCCCTCCCTCCTCCTCTTCCTCCCCTTTTCCTTCCCCTCCCTCCTCCCCTTCCTCCCCTTTTCCTTCCCCTCCCTCCTCCTCTTCCTCCCCTTTTCCTTCCCCTCCCTCCTCCTCTTCCTCCCCTTTTCCTTCCCCTCCCTCCTCCCTTCCTCCCCTTTTCCTTCCCTC